TATGGGCTTAAGGAACAAAGTTCTCACATGTACTATTGTGGAAATAGTAGAGAAAATCTATTTAGAAAGGTCATGGGAAACAGATTTTAAAAGGGGTTTAAAAGGATACAATTTGGGATTTTATTTAAATTTTTACCTATCTGACCATCTGAAACTATAAACTATAGCAGTGTAATGTTCAAATGATATTTTTAGGGAAAAACCCCGATATTTCAAATAATTTGTCTGCCATATGTTTTATAATATTAAGTTAAATAAGAAGCAGAGATGATTGGGGCTGGTAAGGTGGCTCAGTGGCAGAGCGCTTGCTTTGCATGCATGAGGCCCTGGGTCTGATTCCTCAGCACCACATAAGTAGAAAAAGCCGGAAGTGGTGCTGTGGCTCAAGTGGTAGAGCGCTAGCCTTGGGCTGAAGAGCTGAGGGACAGCGCCCAGGCCAAAAGTTCAGGCCACAGTACCACACCTGTTCCCCCCCCCCCCCAAAAAAAAAAAAAAGAGAAGAGAGGGCTTATAGTGTGAGTTGTTGAGAAACATTTGTTGAAAGAACACATGGAGGAGCAAAGGACTGAAACTCCATTTACATTTTTCTTTCTTTTGTTTGCGACACGTTTTCACTGTGTAGACCAAGTTGGCCTTACACTTGGAACCTTCCTGTCTCTGTCTCCCCTGTGCTGGAATTACAGCATGTACCACCATGCAGTAATTCATAACGCAAACAAAATTCCCTCGGGGTACATAGCTTCTATATATCTCTTTTTCAAAGGAGAGGTTCTAGTTACTTAAGTCAGGTAATGATGATTACTTTTCTTTTGGGGCAATGTCATCCTTTCCCTTGCTCTCTACTGGTTTTTTTCCTCCACTCCCACCCATACATTGCAGAGCTCATTTCAACATCGTGTCCCATGAGTCCCACTGCTGCATTTGTTCACCCTTTGTCCCTCTGTATCTGTGCCTCCCCTTAAACTCCCAAAGACAACAACAAACAAATAGGACAAAAAGGAAAGAAAACAAAAACAGTAAAAAAGAAAGGAAAGCTCTTGGTTTCATCTTTTGGAATTCATTTTGATAAATATTATTTTGTATCATCAGAGGAATTTCTATATATACCTTAATTACAGATTTTTTTAAAGATAATTTATATGCAGAGATTATGCACTCTACTTGAGCATACAGTCATGACCTAGGCCTTCATAATCAGTCAGCCCTTACAAAATGTCCTGTAACTCTATTCGTGGAGAGTGCTCTACACAATTGTGTCATTTTGTTTTGTTTTGTTTGTTGTGGAGCTTGAACTCTGGGCCTGGGCTCTGTCCCTGAGCTCTTCAGCTCAAGGCTAGTGCTCTACCATTTGAGCCACAGTGCCACTTCCGATTTTCTGGTGGTTTATTGGAGATAAGAGTCTCATGGACTTTCCTCACTGGGCTGGCTTCGAACTTCTATCCTCAGACCTCAGCCTCCTGAGTAGCTATGATTACAGGTATGATCCATCGGCATCAGGTCACAACTTTGAATTTTTTATTGTACCTTTCTTATATTTAAATACACAAATATGTATCATTGTGTTGGTCAGCATATTTTTGTACAGTAATATATGTACAGTATATTTGCAGCCTAGGAGCAGTTGGCTATATAAGGGAACCTCCATGTGTACTGTGCTATGCCACCTAAACAGGTTTTGTCCCAGTGACAGGACCATCTCACAACATAATCCCCATACAGTATTTTTAGTAGTAAGGAGTTAATACGACATAGAGAAAGAGCTGCAGAGGTAATAAATTAGTAAATAATAGAGTAGATCTAATGAAGACTCAGATATTGAAAGGTTTTATTTTTGTTTTAGTACAGAGATTTGAACTTAGAGCTTCATATTTGCTAAGAAACTTACACTATCGTTTTATCCACAATTCTAGACCTGGAGATATTAAAGACTAAATTATCAAGCTTCTTACAACCTAAGGAATGTTTATCTATATGTCTCTGTATGTATCCATTACAAATATCAGAGTGAAAGAAATCACAATAATTAAAGTTAAAAATTCAATAAAGTGAGAGCCAAAAGAGAAAACAGCATATTAGGCAGAGATGAAGAGAAATTTAATCAACTTAAAACAGGTTTGAGAGAACAAAAGATAGAAAAAGAAAATGATAGAAAATTTAGAATCATACATATTATATCAAATGGAAAGATTAAGGACCAGTATATATGTATAGCTGGAATTCTAGAAGGAGTGAAAGAAGTGGAAAAATACTGTTGAGAATCATTGTTGTTCATGTGTGTGCACACTCGGGTGTGTGCATGTTTGTGACTTACTCTTTTTCTGGTCTCTACGTTATTCTGCGTTAATTTACCTTAAAAAATGGTGTAGGCCTGCCACACAACAACAGCAACAAAAGACTGTGTCTGTTCTTTGAAGTTCTAACGGTCTAATGTTCGTCAGTGCATGGCAACATTCTTTCAGCTTTCCAGAGCACCCTCTTCACATAATCTAGAACTGTGCAGCACTTACAGTGGGGTGTTGACTGGAACTCAAGACCCTTTCTTTCTTACAGCTAGTTGTCTTTCATATCATGTTCCTTAATGCATGCTGTGCTTTAAAATAGGGGGAAAAAAAACCATGTTCTTCCCCCATTTCCAGTGACCATAAATTCAGGCTCTTCTTTATTTATGGTGTTTCCAGTATATAGCTGCATAAAACTGAGAAGAATATATATATAAAAATCTTCAGAATTGCATACTTTATTATAAGATGAGAAATGTGTCCTGCCTAATTTTTTTCATTTGACAATAACTTTTCTTTTGCCCTGGTTCACTTGTTCATCCTCTTGCATGGGCATCCTCTTCACAGGGAGATTTATGATTGAGAAACTATTCATATAAGTTCCTCCAGAGGCTAGCTTCATCACCAACAATGTGCTGGGACCACTCACTCCACTCTTGTCTAAAATTAAACATCTGTGCTTGTAACGAAGGCAGAAAGTACGACATGTTTCCGTATGTCTCCCACCTCCGAATTACCTCCTACGGAAACCAGAAAACGCATCAGTGCGAATTAGCACCGGATTCAGAGCTACTCCAGGCCACTGGGGGGGGGGGGAGGAGAGGGGTGTCTTGTCACACAAAGGGTGAGCAAGGGGCGTGGGGAAGGTGGAGAGGTGGGTACCCCAGCCTGGCCGCAGGAGAAGCCCCTTTCAGCAGTTTGCTGGGGGAGAGTGGGGACCCAGAGCGGGCTAAACTTGGAAATTGGGATATTTGAATGCCACCAGCATTGCAACCCTGCCCCAGAGCTGCTGGGCGAGGAGGAACGGAGTGCGTGCGCGAGAGCGGGGAGCTTACGTTGCAGCGATCTGGGCTGGGATAATTAGAGGAGACTTGGGCTGCGTCCAGTCCTCTTTTAGCAGCAGCAGCAGCAGCAGCAGCAGCGGCAGCAGCAGCAGCAACAGAAGCCGGGGAGTCGCAGCCGCAGCCCGAGGGGCGCACAGAACTCGGGAGCTCTGGAGCGCACGGGGCGGGGGAGGCCGCGCCCACCGCCCGCGCTGGGGGCGCACAAAGGCACCGGCGGCTGCTCCAGTGGCCCTCTCTTGCCTGGCGTTCGGGTCCCCTCCCACCCTCTCTTCTCTCCCGAAGACGGAATGGCAGGGCCGGGAGAGGACCTGGGACGCTGGTGAGCCTAGCTCGGTGGGGCTCCCAGGCTGGATGTGAGATCAGCCCCCACCCCCACCCGCCTAGGTGCCCTCGGAGGATGTGGTCCAGGCTGCTCCCCAGCGAGTCTTCGGCCCGGGTCGCCCCTGCCGCCGCTTCTCTCGGCTCGCTCCAGCCCACCCAGCGGAGTTGATGTTGCTGTCGCCCCCGCCGCCGCCAAAGCCAGGGCTGATGGATGCCAGGGAGTGCCGCATTGCTTAGCGTCCCCGCCTCCGGGCTTGCTGGTAGGACCAGGTTGCTCTTTCTTCTTTCTTGCTTTAGGGGTTATAGAAAAGATATAGATATTTAATTTTAATATAGCTAAATAATATGCCATTCTCCACAACTCCCTTCACCGCCCCCTCCTTCTCATTTTTGATACGTACATCCCCAGAGAGCCATCCTCTCATCCCCACCCTGACGCCCACCCCCGCGACAAGTCCCTTGAAATAAAGAGATAGAGCAAGGCAGAAGTTGGGGGTGGGGGTAGGGATGCCCACATGAGTGCCACCGACACCCCAAACCTTGCTGATGTCTTAGGAGATCAGGGTGTATCTAAGAGGGGTGAAGGGAAAGCAGACTGCCTGCAAAATCGACCCTAATTTTATCAGGAATCTTAAGTAAACCCTACAAAGATATCTTTTAAAAATAGCATCTATGAATAAATAAGAAAGAGAGAGAGAGAGAAAGGGAGGGAGGGAGAGGGATAGAATAAGCCTCTCTCTCTCTCTCTCTCTCTCTCTCTCTCTCTCTCTCAGATGCTCCCCGCCCTGGAGCTCAGCGGTGAAGACCCACCTTATTATTAATCAGAATTCTTCTCCTTATCCCTGGCAGGCGCCTCGTTCAGCCAGGGACCGTCGCAGAACCCAAAGCGCTGGGGCTGAGATGTGCGTGGGGGTTGTTTTTGTTACATCTTGGAAGACAGGAAAAGAGGACAGAAGCAAGATCAGAGGTACCCGGGCGAGGTAGGCTTAGAGGTGTTTCGTTTGGAGAGAAAAAGGACCAGAAGAGACAAGGCTTCTTGAACCGACGAGAGATTCACATCTATTTAAAGGAAAGAGAGGAGGGAACAAACGTGGGACGCTGTTTTTTAGGAGCTTGGGGTAGAAGTTTCTACCCCCTCAGTGAGACTGTGAGAAAGCACGAGCAACAGGGTACTTTCCTGGAGGTGAAGAGGAAGCATTTCTTATAAAGGACAGGGAGCAGGTAGCAAGGAGACCTGGGTCTAGAAGGTGGCCTGGCCAGGGCCAGGTTTGTAGTAGGAGTAGGACAGTCCAGTCCATTGGAGTTTCACAGGGAAAGGCTCAGGAAGCATAGAACAATGACTCACTTACAAGCTGGTCTCTCTCCTGAGACTCTGGAGAAAGCTCGCCTGGAACTCAATGAGAACCCAGACACATTGCACCAGGACATCCAGGAGGTGAGGGATATGGTCATCACCAGGCCGGACATTGGTTTTCTACGCACGGATGATGCTTTCATCTTACGCTTCTTGCGGGCCCGGAAGTTTCATCACTTCGAGGCCTTCCGACTCTTGGCCCAGTACTTTGAGTACAGGCAGCAGAATCTGGACATGTTCAAAAGCTTCAAGGCCACCGATCCTGGCATCAAGCAGGCTCTGAAGGATGGATTTCCTGGGGGCCTGGCCAATCTGGACCATTATGGAAGGAAGATTCTAGTCCTTTTTGCTGCCAACTGGGATCAGAGCAGGTAAATGCTGAATCTAAACTTATACTAACGATCTCTCTCTTCCAGGCTTTACTCTGAATATTTCCATAATTTGTGATTTTTGATGAGTTTTCTTTTCCTTTGCAATTGAGAAACCGGAAGTGAATTGGACCTCTAGGAAGACAGTGGTCTGTATTTGTACTTTAAAAAACTCTCCCTTCCCACTTAGTTGCTACTGTAGTTTTAAGTGCTTCCTGAACCACATTATTATGCTGAGTTAAAAAAAAAAAGAAAACAAAATCTCTTAACTTCTAAATAAAGATGCCCAATTTTTCACCTCCTGAGGAAGTTAATTGGTATAGCAAAATGTGTAAAGAATGGAGGCAACTTTTCTACTTTCTCTGAAAGAAATCGTTAAAGTAGGTTCATCATCATCATCATCATCATCATCATCATGGTCATCACCATCACAATCATCATCATCACTCTCCTCCTCTTCCTGCTCCTCCTCTTCCTCCTTTTCCCTCCTCTCCCCCCACTCTTCTTTCCATTTTTAGTACTGGTATTTTCACTGCTTAGAATAACCTAGTGCTCAATCAAGGATAAGTAGTTTTATTGCTTGGGAACTTTTCTGTTTGTGATATGTGGATGAAGGCATACTATATATGTCACTTCAGTGAGAAGGAAGAGTTGTACCTTCTGTCGCCGAGCATGCCTAGCAACATTGAAAATGAAGGCTGACGGGTGTGCTTGTTCTACACCTGTCACTAATCTAAAGAGTATGTTTCTGTCTGATGTGATTTTTCATCTTTTGGAAGGAAGTAGAAAATCTTCAAATAGATCAGCTGGTAGGCTTTTAAGTTCATTTGCTGTTTAGTAGAGGAGAAATTATTTTCTCATTATTACAGAAAAATGTAGACGGTGACACTTCTTCCTCAATCAGAATTATTTTCTGAGGATGAAAGACATAAGAAATTAGAAAAGGCTCTTGGGCAAAGGAAGTTCAATTATGCCAAAGTTAAATACACTTATTGTGACTTAAATGAAAGCTACCAAGCTGAGTGTTGTAAGAACTAGTTGTTAAACATCAGTGTATTTTTAGTTCTGTTGATGGTGACTTTGGTTGCATCTGGTTAAATTATCTCTGGAGCAATTAGAAGTGACTTTTACAGTTCCTGAGAGATCTTTACCTTCCCAGATAAGTTTCAGTTCTTATGATGTTATACACTGAATTAAAATTTTAGTTTCCTTCTTTTGATTGATCACTTTGCTCCAATAATTCAAGATAGAGAACTGTGATTTTTTTAAAGCTAAATATATAGACAAACTACCACCTTTCTATAATGTAAAGAAACTCGTGGAGAAAATTAACCATTGGGAGGAAAGGGAGTTTCCTTGAAAATATTTTCTTTTTTTAAAATCAGTTAGAAAAGTTCAAAGGACTATGAAATCCAGTTCACTGACCACGTTATGTATGCTCATTTTTCTTGAGAAGTACAATGAAGAGTCATGTGTACCAATGGTTGTTCATATCAAAAATTGAAAATGAAATTGGGCAAAGAACCTATTATTCTAGATAGATTAGAACTATTTCATTATTGAACTATAATGATAGATAGACAAATATTAAAATATTTGTCTTGTAGTCTATTGGAGATATCCTTATTCAAGCAGATTTCACTGAGAGATACACACACATAGGTCAGAACTATTTTAGTTTTCTAAAAGTGAATCAATATTCATGCTGATTTATAATCCAGATTGAGATGAAAGTCACAGATACCCTGTTAGGTGAGGTAGTTACTCAGGATATACTAAAAAAAAATCAAATTTCAGTTGTATATGACATACAATTTATATAAAAGACAGGATAGTATGGCTCAAAGCACATGAACACATCTAGGAATTCTGACAACAAAACTCCTGTGCTTGTTGATATATGCTCATAAAAATGTAGAAAAACACACAGGTTATTAAAAATAAAGCCCCTTTCTAGAAATCAATAATGGGGATAGTTATTGAATAGTTTATAGATATTTTATGAAACACAAAATTATAAATATTAAAATTTTGCACATGGAAGTGAGAATTGGAAGTGAGAATTCAGGTCCTATGGATATATATTGTCATGACTTATAAAATAATAACTGTATTTTATTTCTATTGTGGCAAAGGAGCAATTATAATAAAAAAATTATAGGACATGGTACAAGATGAAAATATATGGAAGTGATTTAGAGATTGTCTAAATTTCAGTTATTTCTTCCCCTTGTATATCAAAACCATAGCTCCTTCCTTTTATCTACCTATCCCATATTCCAAATCCACAAATACCAACTGACAAGGAGCACTAGGTGAACAATTTGGCTGCATTGGCATCCTACGTCAACCTGCACATTTATGATATGTGTATAAGAATTTCTGTGGTCTCCGCACTGAAATTAGTAAGATGGTAACCTCCATGGAAGTGCTTGTGCATGCCCTGTTCTTCTCAGAGAGAATCCTGTATTTCCACTGCCTAGTGTCAAGGTGTATCTAACTTGAGTCCTACAAAAATCTCTGCCACTTTCTTGCATTATTGATACCTTGCTATTATTGCTGTTACATATGTATGCTATCAGTTGGGTTCTCTTCTCCTTCTTTTCCTATTTGTCAAGTCTGATAATCCAACCTGCATCACCCAGTCCAAATACCCATGAGTCTCTGGAGAAAAGTCATATTCTTAGTCTTAAACAACTTTATTTACAAAGTAGAGTTGTTGCAAAAAAAAAAAAAACACCCACAAACAGTGGGTTTAAAGCATAAGTGATTACATAAGAAAATTCCAAAAATGAAGTAGAAGAAAACATTCCTTTTTATTTGTAATAAAACTAATATACAAATTCTGAAGCATAAAAGAAAACCATGATTTGAGGACTTTTGATCAAAACAAATTACAAAGTCCTCGGAAACAACCAATCTGTATGATGAAAAGCATGCTACAATATTTATAACAGCACTTGAGCTGGAATAGAAATTTAAGAAGAGTTTAAATTGTATTAAGAGTTATAATGTTTTGATTATTTTTGGTACTGAGATTTGAACTTCAGGTCTTTGTGCTTGCTCAGCAGATTAGGTGCTCTACCACTAGCACACATTTTTAAATGAAGCTATTGTTTCGGTAAGTTCTCACATTTTTGTATTTTGTCTGGAACAGCCTCAGACCTCAATCTCAGCTCCCCATCTATGCCTCCTGAATAACTGGATTAAAGGTGTACACCACCAAATTTACTTTGTTCTTTGAGAGAGAGCCACCACTATGGCTTTGAACTAAGATCCTCTTGATCTCCATCTCTGAAGTAGCTAGAAGTATAAACAGGCACTACTGCACCTGAACCAAAAGCTATGCAGTTGTTTTTGTTTTTTTAATTCCAAGCAGGAATTTGTAGGACATTTTTTCCTGCTCTTCAGGATTCTGAAAACAGGAAGGTACATAAAAGTATAAATAGAAATAAAATAATACTGTAAAGTTATTATAAAAATTGGGTCATTTCTATAATTTTTATGAGACACGGAATCATAGGAAGACTCAGGTAAAATTTGCAGTACATTCACTTTCTAACTAATCAAAATATGATGGTAATTCTGAAATGTCAAAATGATTTTTACTTTGGCCTATGGTTCTTTAAAAAGGATATAACACAGGCTCAAATGATTTGCTTAAAGTCACTGAGCAGGTGTAACTTGGAAAAGATTCATACAATTTTATCTTCTTCTTTTCGGGTTGCCTAACAAAATTTCTGAAAGCAGGTATAAACAGCACAAAATTATAAACAACCTGATAATCTCACTGCATGGCATGGCTGGAATGCAGTAGACATGGATCCCATATTTCCTTCCTCCCTAATTGTTAGTCCACTTGGCTTTATTAGCAGTGTTGGGCTAATGGGCCATGTAGCTAAAAGAGAAAGTGCCCCAAGTGAAAAGGAAAGTTTAGAATTAAAGGCGATAGAAGTCTAGGTCCAAGGGCAAAAAAGCAAACATTTGTGAAGTTGAAACTCACTAATACAAAATTATTGAGTGTTCATAAGTGAAAGAGTGTCAAGTGATACATAAGGATGATGTTGCATGAGAGTTGGACTCTAAATTGTCAGCCTGCCAGTAGTAGTTTATTTCTCTAGGTTTCATTAGAGTGATAAAGTTTTCTCTATAGTTTACTGTACCTTATTGGAATCACTTATTTGGAACCTGGTTAATAGTAATCAGGAAACAATAAAATGTAGCAGGACTCAAAGAGATTCTTAATGATGTGATGATTAGGAGACAATGACCACTCTGTCATATCTTTGGCTTGTCATAATGAACATTGATGGTCACCTCACAGAAAGTGACAGTCTCCGTAAGAGGATGAAAACAAATCAGTTAGACACAGTGTCTGCTTGTTCCTTTTGTGTGACTTTTTCAATAAAAAGGAAATATATAAATTGGCAAGTATCTGTGGCTTCAGTTTTAATTATGATCATGCTCTGATTTAACGAACTATTGTGACCATTCTTCAGAATCAAAGATTGTAGCAAAAGCCTACCATTAAAAAAAAGAACAGACTATACAGATTTGCTTTGATGACAGCTATTTAGGTTTTTTAAAATATAAAATAGATTAAGAATGGATTAAGATAGTTAAGGGAAATTAACTAGATAATTAGGGGGAAGAATTCAAACTATGTAATCTTTTATTTTGGGTCCGGTAGTGGGGCCTGAACTCTGGGCCTGGGCACTGTCCCTCAGCTCTTCAGCTCAAGGCTAGCGCTCTACCACTTAAGCCACAGCGCCACTTCCGGCTTTTTTTTTCTTTTTTGCTTATGTGGTGCTGAGGAATCGAACCCAGGGCCTCAGGCATGCAAGGCAAGCACTCTACCACTGAGCCACCTTCCCAGCCCCCAAACTATGTAATTTTAAAAAAAAGGAAAAATGTTTTGTTTTGAGTGTTTTAAAAAGACATCTCAGTTTACTAAAATATACTGGAGATATTGTTAGGTGATTGATTCTATGGCTGGAGATTTC